ACTCATCTTGAATGGATGTGACCCAATAGTTTGCTTTCTTGTTTTGGTGAGTACAAATAGCCCAGAAAGCCAGGAGTTTGCCCTGAGTCTTTGTCTCGCTTGTGCAACATAGTTCTGTCTACCTATAAATTAATCATAGTATGGTAAATAGTTTAAAGAACATACTCTGAAGATTCTCCTAGTTTTACATGCAGAGAGCGAGCAAGTGAGAGGGAGTGAGTTCTCCATAGTGGAGGTTAGAGAACTGGGTGGTGTTACACAAATTTGCATGAAAGCCAGGAATCTGTTCTGGCCTGCACGACATGAAGAACTTAATAAATGTGGGATGGTTAAAATGTTCTGGATGCTATATTGCACAAAGCAAATGAATAAACAAGAGCATTAGAAAATATTTTAGGATTAGAAGATTAAGAGTAATTGGCAAAGGCAGACTGGATGGCTCACGAGATTGGTAAGGGATCTGGAGCCTTTCACCTCCTGATTAGCCAAAGATGTAACCTAGGTAATAAAAAAAAAAAGATTTTTTTAATGTTTGATGTTCCAGTGCAGATGGTCAGTCTAGTTTATAATCAGTAGTTGCAGAAGAAGCCAGGGGTCAAAGACAGCTTTACCCTCTGCATGTAAGCCGTGCAAGTTGAATGTCTTGCATGGATATAGGCCACTAGTTTTGTCTGGTAGAATTTTCTTCATGAAATTTAGGATTACAGGAGCTGTCAGACTTTGTCTTCCTTGGTAATTTTTTTTCATTTTCTTTAAGCAGTATTTGTAAAGTGCTTTGGTCTAATAAAATTCAGGATTGAACTTTGAAAAGGAGGTGGGAAAATAGAGTAGGGTAGCATTTGGATCAAGGGCAGATTAAATATGAAAGACATTTTTTAAAAAATCGAAAGTACCTTCCTCGCCCAAGTCCATCTATTCCATGAAATCATTGTTTTCAGTCTGACTAATTAAGGTAATATAGATGTATCTGTTGGAATGGTATAGTGCAATTACACAGCTTTGTGGAAGTACTTGCCAACATGCTTTAGAAAGTACATCTTGAAACACTGTCAATTATCATGTTATCTTTTCTCCCGGTTCTGGCTATTTTTGGAAATGTGCATTGTGTATGAGGAGATAGGTTACCTTAGTTGTATTAATGCATGTACTTCAATCCTTGTGGTAAATTCTTTCCCAGTATTTTAGATGTTGTTAATTTTTCCCATTAATGAATGAATTTAACAATTAAGAGTTTGAGTTTCAGGGAGTCTTACTGTGAAATATGTTTCAAATTTAATCCCAGACTGAGACATGGTCTTGAAAAACAATTTTTGAAGAATATCAGTGTAACCATCTCAAGCGCAGTAATGGAGAACCCATCCTAAGAGTTGTCTTTCTCTATACAGCATAATCATACCAACCATATTGCTATAATTGAGGTGCTGAAGGAGTAAGTGATAATCCCAAGGTCTCACAAGCAAGTGACTGTGAAAGAAACAACTAAATCAGGTTTCCAAAGTTCAAACAGGTGCCTTGTATGTTAGGTTCACTTAAAAAAGAGAATTGTGAAGATTAATTTTCCTTTGTGCTTATTGAGGGAATTGTTGAAGGGTGCTCTTACATTTCCAGTGGAAGCTGTACCTGTACTTGTGACTGACACTCGTTATGTCAGCTGGTGCTTCAAACTCCACTGCTGTAATAGAATTGCAGAATGTTACTGCTTTTGTTTAGTTTCTGCTTTATGTTGGGGGATGAGTGTCTACTGTGTCAGGGCAAAGCAGGGGACTAGGTTTTGCTGGGATCAGAATGAAATAGGGAGATAAATATGAGAAGCCATCACTTCTGATACCATACAGAAATGTGGATATTGATTTCTAGGATGTGTATATATATATATATATTTTTTTTTTTTTCCCCTTTCTCCTCCTTTATTTTTCCTTTTTCCCGGGGCAGGTCAGAGAGAGCAGGAAGTTAAGGACAATTATATACCTCATGAAGGAGTTTAATGCCTCTGTGTAGAGGTACAATACATAACTGAAAAATCTGAAAGTCAAGACTTGAGCGGAGTGCATGAATGCAAACAGTTCTGCAAATATGTAGGTTTCTTCCAGATTTCATTGTCTGAAAGCTGAAACAGCTTCCCTTTATACCATCATTTCAAGTGTTTCTCCCAACCTCTTCTCATGGAAGCCAGTTCCTTCAGTTCTCTTTACCTTATGACCTCCAGGGAGGCTTTGAGTAGGTTTTGTTACATGTGAAAAATGGCTGAGTGTAATAACATTAAGATGACCCTGTGTTACCTTTTACGTACATGCTGTCCTACTAGGACGCATTATTTTGAATTGTGTCAGGGTAGTCGTGGAAATGCCAACCCAATAATTGGTAATCAGTTACTTTCCAGTGCTGAAATGATTTTGTGTGTGTGTGTGTGTGTGTGTGTGTGTGTGTGTGTCCACTGCAAGAGGTTAACACAAAAATCGTGAGAATACTTAGTTCTGTTTTATCCTCTTGTGATGCAGAGAAGGGTATATTAGCACGGGACACAAATTTTCTATGTAGGCCACTAAGCAGGTTTAACACAAGTTACAGAAATTATGTGATTTACAGTCCATTGTATAAAATGCTACTACTACTACTATGTTTTTCCAGTGTTCAGAAATAAAAGTAATTAGCAGTGAACAGCAGCTGAGATTATTGACACTCAGGGTTTCTAACTGGTGTCTGCAAAATACGTTTGTTATCTGTAGGCGCTGTGAACAGGCAGCTGAGAGTAATGGATGTATTTACTCATTAAAGCCACTTAAGGTAAAGTGTTTTGGCCAGTTTTCTGTGCATGCATAGAACAAACATAAGTATCTAATTAAATGAGCAAAACCAGATCACCTTGCAACTTACGTAATCGTGCAGCAAGCTGCTGTTATTTTCTGTTTACCATAATTCCATCAGTGCTTTCTTTAAGTTGTCTTTCAACACCATTGAGACTTTGAACGTTGAAATAATGCAGTGAATGGAGACCTGAAGTGCCAGATACTGTGGAGCAGGCCCAAATCCTACTGTTGTTAGTGGATCAGGCTCAGCGTGGCTTTGTCTCCAGTTCTTGCTTGCCATAAAGTGAATAAAATGAGCTATCTTCTGCAGTACAGAATATCTGTTAAAACATCCTTCTTCCAAAGAACCCCTTCAAAACCAAATTCATAACTTGATACCAGACCTTGGAGCCCCAGTTTAAGTGAAAATGTTATTACAGCTAAGACCTAGGTATTTGGCAGCCCGACTCACCATTGCCTAATGAGATATGTTTCCTTAACAAACAGAAAGCAATTCTCAGTTTATTTAAGAAGAGTTTTAACCAGCGCATGGGAATTGTGCTTTCTTAAAAAAAAAAAAATAAAAATTGGAGGCTGAATAGTAGCAGCTCATTATATCATGTTTTAGCCACTCATTGACTCACGATGCATGTTCAATTCTGATGGGGTACAGAGGATAGCATCTCATTCTCTGAGCTAAATGGCTAAAAGGCATTTATTTTATATGCATTTTAAAATGTTTACATTTCATGCTCTCTGTATGTCTGAGTCTCTCCGTATGGTGTGACAGTGAATGAGCAGTGATCACATGTTTTCTTTGTGGCACAGCTGTTGAGGAGGAGAAGAAAAATAATTACACCATTTGCCTAACGCATTACAACTGAATCCTGCAGAAATGTAGTAATACACATACTGGTTGGGAGAATGGAAATCAGACCCTGTGTGGAAATTTTATATTCCCTGTAAGGCATCTCTTGGGTGTAAAAATTGAGAACGTGGCACAAGGAAGCTCCCACCCATGTTCTTGATGTAGTGGTGTAGACTGGATGATGGCAAAAGTGTAGATGTCTGTGGATTTTGGGTGTAAAGAGGAATTATCTTCTGGATGCTGTATACTGTTAACTATTCAGGAAAAGATGTAGAGCAATGGTGACATTTTTGTGAGGAGATTCTTACTTTGGCCTTCAAACCAGTTGTACAGGACCAGCAAATCTCTCCCTGATGTCACGGGCAGGTGTGGTGCACTCCTGGGAAGGGCAGGCCTGCCTGCTATGAGAACACAGGGTTTAATAACATAAGCCCTGGAAGCGTTGTTTCCCTCTTCAGACCATTTTGCTCAGACATCATGAGAAAGCTAAGTAGACCTACCTTTTTTTTTAATTAGTGATGTAATGGACTTGGGTGTGGTAGGTTTCTTTGCCACATGCCATTTTTCTACTGTAGTTTTTCCATCCTTGTTTTACTAAATTGAGCTCTGTGCATGAGAGGAACAGAAGATTTCCTTGGAGAATGTCTGCACTGAGTAATCATTGAGAAAACGGCCTTTCATTTCAGACATCAGGCACTATGGCACTGTTAAAAGGCGTCCTGGTGGATACTGGATACTTCTGCAGGAATGATCTTTATACCAATTGGTCATATTCTGACCCAGCAAACTGAATTTGTTATTTCAAATCTAATTTTTCTTTGCTTGTATTTAGAAAGCAATTATCTTGGACTGTTAAGCATCAATATGATTAAACCATGTAAGTGTATTGAAAGTAAAAATCTGAAGGCCCATTCTTTTGGTATAGAGTCCCATCAAAGTCTCCTCTCAAAGGGTTCAGGGATATGGGAGCTGATTGTTGGATCTTCTATCAATGACATGATTTAGTGTTTTAGTGAAAGAAGGAGTAGTCCTGTCGGAGTACTCTGAGTTAAGATCATGTTGTATGTGTGCCTCAGTTTCCCCCAATAAATATATTTATCATTCTTATGGAAAATATATTCAGCTATATGAAACATTTCAAAATCTTCAGTAACAAATGCTAAACATGTGAGAGTATATATAGGATATCTTACTATGTTAGTACAAATGAAAATAGTCATGATGGTTAATGAAAGAGTCTTATGAATTAATTGCTCTTTATTTCTCTTTTTAAAATTTTATTTTCCTTCCTTGCTATTTAAATAAATATAAAATGGAGCTAAAATGACCTTATTCTTTATTCACAGGTTACTTTAGGTGGAACCTTTATTGGAATTGGGCGGAAAACTCCAGATTGCCAAGGCAACACCAAGTACTTCCGCTGCAAATTCTGCAATTTCACCTACATGGGCAACTCCTCCACTGAACTAGAGCAACACTTCTTACAGACTCACCCAAACAAAATGAAAGCAGCCCTTCCCTCCTCTGATTCTGGTAAAACTTCAGAGAAAAACTCCAATAAATCCAGTCCTACTCTTCGACCATGTGATTCTGGAGACTTGGGGAAGTGGCAAGACAGAATCACTGTAAAAGCAGGAGATGATACACCAGTTGGATATTCGGTGCCCATCAAGCCAATAGATTCCTCTAGACAAAATGGTACCGATACAACCAGTTACTACTGGTGTAAATTTTGCAGTTTCAGCTGTGAATCGTCCAGCTCATTGAAACTATTAGAACATTACAGCAAACAGCATGGGGGAAGCCAGGCAGGAAGCCTTCACCCAGATCTGAATGATAAGCTTTCTAGGGGATCTGTCATTAACCAGAATGATCTAGCCAAAAATGCAGATGGGGAGTTAGTGACAAAGACAGAAAAGGGTGCGAGTGTGGCAAAAAAGAAAGACTTGACTAGCAAAGGAGCAGAGGACAGCATGGTGACAAGCTACAACTGTCAGTTCTGTGACTTTAGGTACTCAAAGAGCCATGGCCCAGATGTAATAGTGGTGGGCCCACTTCTCCGTCACTATCAGCAGCTACACAACATTCATAAATGTACCATTAAGCACTGTCAGTTCTGTCCCCGAGGCCTCTGCAGCCCAGAAAAGCACCTTGGAGAAATTACTTATCCATTTGCTTGCAGAAAAAGTAATTGTTCCCACTGTGCTCTCTTGCTTTTGCACCTGTCTCCAGGGGTGACAGGAAGCTCTAGAGTCAAACACCAGTGCCATCAGTGCTCATTCTCCACTCCCGACGTGGACGTTCTCCTGCTCCACTATGAGAATGCACATGAAGCCCAAGCATCTGATGTCAAACCAGAAACAAACACCCTGCCAGGGGCAGAGGGGCCGCTGATGCTCAAGGAGAACAAAGAACACTCATGTACCAAATGTGACTTTACCACCCAGGTGGAAGAAGAGATTTCCCGACACTACAGGTACAGTGATGTTTCAAATGATTAATGATAGGAACCCAAACAGCCCTCCCTTAGTTCCTTAATTAAATGTCACCATTCCCCAAACATTTGAGGAAACTGGAAATCAAACTATGAATGTGTATAGATACAAATCTTTACAGCCAGTATCCAATCCAACATCCACTTTGTTTTGGAAAACCACCAGCTAAATTGGTGGATTTAATTACACATTTAAACCTGTGCAAAGAAGAGGGAGATTTGGATTTGTGTACAGATGCTGAATTTCCATCATATTTGAGGTTTGGTCAACTATTTTCCACCCAGAATCTTTTAGGTGCTATTTTAGTTTAGGCTTTTTACCAGAAAGCTGGCATCTTCATTCAGTAGGGGAACACAAATGGCTTTACTTTCCAAGATAGACTGTGAATCCTTTCATGCTCCGTAACAGTGTTTCAATGTACTACCTTTTTGTAGTATTTTCCATTCCCAAGTCCAGCAATGCAATAATTAGTTTAAGAGCATTCCACTGCTGTTTTGGTGTTGGTTTCACACTGGGAGCAGACACTCTTTTGTCTGTTGATGTCATCCCCAAGATCCATTTGCAGATGCTTATTTTTGTGTTGCTGGTTTACAGTGTCATTCTATTTATTTTAAATGCTAATGTTCCTATTTGGAGGTGGACACAGCCAGTCTCCTGACTCAGTCTGACACAATGTCATAGTGGCAGCCAACTCCCTGCTAAACTTCTTGGGTCAGTTCCTGGGCTGTTGTAAACTAGCAGTCCAGTTTACATCAGAGGAGGAGCTGGCTCTTAGGCTTTGTAAAGAGCAACAGTTGTGTGCTGCTGCAAAAGCAATGTTAAATATTAGAAAATCATGCCGAATATGTTAATAGTTAAGGCTAATGCGTCAACAACAACGGAAAACTCAGTATCTATCTCATCTAAAAGATCTTTGCATGGAAGCCAGCTAGAATGAAGACAAAAGAAGATGCATTTTCAAAGCTAAAGCTTTGTTAAAAGCTCAAGAAACTGTGCCATGTTTAATAGATTCCAAGACATCCAAAATTAACAAAGGCAGACTGGGGCATGATACTTTAATAGAGATTAAAGCTGGGGGCATCCAAATGTTGCCCAACAGAGGGCTGCATTGGCAGTGTATCAGGAGTCTATTTTAAAAAAAAGAAAAAAAAAAAAGAAAAAAAAAAGAGCAGATTGCTCATCTTTAATTTGGAGCTAGGGCCCACGGAGTATTCAGGTCCCAGCATGCAGTGCCCCATTTTTGATCCAAGTGGGCCTGAGGGATGTTGTGCGGATTAATTAGTTAATGTTTGTAAACTGCTTTGAAGATGAAAAGTGGTATCTAAGTTCCAAGCATTATTATAGCAGCTTTGAGCCATGCTGTAGAACTCCATAGGCAGCACTTTGTCCGCCGCTGGGGCATGGCACAATCTTTTTTTAGTGGTTAAATAACTGGAAGATTGAAATGGTTCCTTGACTGAAAAAAACACTTCTATTTTGCTGCAGCTGGTAATTTTAAGTTTTAACAAGCACGCCTAGTTAAAATCCTCTTTCCCAAAGAAAGGAGAAACCATGACTTTCAAAATTAAGTGCTAAGTCTGCGACAAGGTAGAAATAGATTCTTCTTCAGAGGGCTCAGCACTCTGTGGCTCTGGAAGTTGTCACAGGGAACTTCACATTGGCAAATTAAAAGATGCACTTAAGTCTCAAATCTCAACTTGTTTGTCTAAAATTAGTCTATTCTGTTTAAGACCTTTGAACAACGTATTTTTTTGTCTTCAGTCTACGACATTATTGAGTACTCTGAGGATGTTGTGTAATTAAAGCAAAGTACAACATCTCTGTAACTACCAACTTTTTTTCCTTTTTCCTGCCATCCCCCCTTTTTAATTTGAGTTTTGTTTCTTTTCTCCATGTACTGCTGCTGTTTTCCCCCCCTCTGCATCTTATTTGAAATCACAGAAGTTACTTCAGTTTGTGGTAGGTGCTCTGGCAAATGGCAACAGCAGGTTTTGTGGCTGTTCTATGCCTAACCTAGTTTTCATGGTTTTCACGCTATCAAACTAAAACAAATGGAAAAAGAGACTTTTGGGGCATTATAGCTTCTATATTTATTATTATTATTATCAGGGCTTTTTTTTTTTTTTTTTTTTTTTTTTTGTATGTACTGGATATGCATTGTCTTTCCCCTTTTGTATTTTGTGAACAAAATGTACACAATAGTTCAGATTTAAAAAAATAGAACTTCCATAAAATAGTAGTATTGAGGGGGAGGTATGTGACATAGAGAAACATGCTGATAAGTCGTCGTCTCACATCCTAGCTGGTCTTCTCTGTGGCTTCATCAGTTTGTCTCAATAAAGCTGTTATGCCACATGTTATGTATTTCCGATGTATTTAAAATGCTGTACTTGCACATATATATAAACTCTATCCATTTATGTAATAAGGAGCTGAATGGATTCTAATTATAAGCATAATATTGAGCATTAATGTGGTAGCAAAAAGTGTTCTGTTGTCACATATTTAAGTTTACCCTTGCTAATCAGTGAGTATCAAAGCTGGATTTAGACGCTACCTACATATTTTGGTCCATGTATTTTTTGTCTGCATTTTTCATAATTTTATTTTTTGAGTCATATACCTGAACAGCATGCTTAATTTATTGTCTTTTTTATTTTGTTTCCTTTTGGCTCTACATCTGTAATTTTAAATGTCTGCTAGCTAAAAAATTTTCTATGTCCCAGTATTATTCCTTTGCAGCCATGTAATTGCAACAGTATTTGAATTTGCAGAGTGGTTCTTTCCAAGTTTTCTGTCTACAGAAACATATACTTAAACTTCAGTGCTCATTCAGTATTTCTTGACATGATTATTTGAGAGCTGTTCAGTTAAATTTGAAGTTAATGAGTCACATTGCACTTGTTTACTTGTATTTAAACCTCACTAAAATGTGCTTACTCAAATAAATCCCCAGAAGGTTTATTTGCCTCCATTTTCTACTAATTCTGCTGCTACTCATTTTCCATTACCTCTGAGGAATCAGGTACTCTTCATGTTCATTGTGAAGCTTAATTTTTCCTCAAAACTGTCTGGTATTCTGATGAGTTAAAAGATGCCAACACTTGCAATTTAGATAAAAATCATACCGAGTATTTGGGGAAATTTTGCATGTCGGATCACTTAGTCTAGAGATTATTTATTTTCCTGCTTGCTCCAAAATAATTACTTTTTAAATTTTATTTTTTTCTTCAAAATGAAAGAGGCCTCTTATGGAAGTGTGTGTGGGTTTTTTTATTTTGCTAAAAAATGTGGGACAACAATGCATTTTCTCGTTTTTGCAAAAATCAGAATTTTTCATGTAAATCCTTATTTGTCAAAAAAATTGACAGAAAGCATTTGATCAGTGCTAGTAGTAATTAAAAGTGCTGTGCTGAAAAATGCTCTAAACTTCTTTTAAATAAAAGATAAGGTAGTGATTTATTAAACAACTGCAAAATATAAATGAAAGTAGACTCACGTGAAATATAAGCTTTGACAATGGTGTAGAATAATTTTTCTAATAAATTATTCTGAAAATGTGGATGACAGCAGTTACATAGGGTTCTCTTTTGAAATTAATTTTGAGTTAATTTCAAATTAAATAATTCCTTACTTCTTACAGATACATGGGGTAGAGGGATACTTAGGGCTCATACCTCCCCAGTGCCAGGACTGCCCATCAGGGACCTGGGTGTCAGGGCTGCCCTTGCACGCTGTCAGGCAGCAAAGGTCGGAGCAGCCTCTTAAGACCTGCATATTATGCAAATCTGGAGCCTTTGGGACACTCCCCAGAGAAGCCAACCAAGGGCACAAGTGTAAATTGAGGCCCACCAGCTCATGGTTTTTCAGCAGAGCAGGAGCCTTCACGCATTGAACAATGGCAGCAGCTGCAAGGATCTTTTCCATCCTCCTGACACCTTAATTCACTGCTCTGAACTTGTTTGCTCTTGCCAGTGGCTTTTGCTCTCCTTTCACCTCTGCCTTGCTCTCTGCTCTGCCCGTTTTCCTCTCCTTTCTGACTCTAATGAATTTTTTTGCTTGCTTTGTGCACTGAATATTTTCCACTCCCCACAAGCCTGAGTGCAGCACGCATCCTAAAAGTAAACTTTCTTATAAGCCTGTTTCTTCATGAGAAATACTAGTAATTATTATATTCATAATGAAATTCAAAACATGCAAAAAAAATGAAGTGATATGACAGCTGTACCTTCATCCAGAATATTTTCTATGCCCTAGAGCCTAGGAATGTCTTCAGGTAATTAAAAAAAAAATTACTTGTTTTGTAGAGGATGGTGTTTTGTAATACTTCAGACTAGTTAGGAGTATGTCAACAAGACTTAATTAAGAACTGACTAGTGTCAGGAGTAGCACAGCCTATTAGAAAGCTCAAGTAAAGAACATTAAATCCATCAAAAACTCCCCATCTATTCTCTCCAACTTTTGCAAGGCAAAATCCTTATATTTTATAGCACCCAATTCAAGTACATTTCAGTACATATAAATAATTACAGGATTTTAGTAAGTTGTCAGAATGTAACAGTGCAGCAAAGGTTTGGCCTGATTTCTTTGACATTTAATCTTAGGATTGGGCCATAAATGTTTTAATGTCCATGAATAATCAGGTCTTTGATTTATTTTGTAGTGAAAATAATAATGCAAAGTGGCATCAATGGGTGGGATGACATTGCCATCCCAATGCCGTATTGAAGATAATGCGAGTTTGTGGCTTGAACCTGCTGTTAGTTTGCTTGAGTGTATAAATCAGTTCTCATCTTCTCCACATCACAGTCTCACAGAAAAAAGGAAGGAATGCTTGCATGTCTCTCTATGAATCACTTATAAATAATTTAAATGAACAAATCTTTAATGTAATAAAGGTGATTGTAGCTGGGCCTCAGCCATGTAGTTGCAACTGCATGTAATATACGACATTTATTTGTGGCCTTAGATGTGTGGTACCACTCCTGTGGTGTATACTGCTCCTGATCAAAAACATTTAGCCAGCGTGGAAGGGGGGGAAAAAAAGGACAAGTTCAGCAGAAAAAGATCAGCTGTTTGGAGGTGCGAGATCTGTAGATGAGAGCCAAGTTAGGAAAGGGGGTTAGCTATTGAAATAGCCAAGTTAAACAAGAGACACTTAGGACTAAGTAGCCTCCCAAAGGATTGATAAACTTCACATGGGGAGTGTATGTGGTTGAGCCATTAGCCCCAAACGGTGTCTTGTTTAACTTGGCTTTTAAGATAACTAGCCCCTGTCTAACATGAACTTCGCTGATGGTATCCCACCTTTACAGGGCTGACCCTCTTTATAACTTGGCTTTTTGTATTTATAAAATGGTTTTGATCAGATAGCACTCTTTTTTTTTTTTTTTTTTTTTTTTTTTTTATTAAGTTGCAAGAGAGAATATATTAGTGTCGCATTGAGAGACAAGCTGATTTTAATAAAGCACAATTGTAGAATGAAGAAAAAGGAACACAGCCAGAACAGGATTTTAACCCACAGCTTGCTCTCCCACAAGTAGATTTTGTTGCCATAAGGCTGTGTGGAGAATACCTGACTATTTTTTGCATAACTGAAAAAGCCCATCTAGTCCTTTAAAATGAATATAAATACAGAAAATGACAAAAAGAAAACTGATATTTCACAAGGGCTAAAAAGCTTGAATCTATATGTGTACTCATGTCTACTTGCTGACACAATTGCAAGAAAATCAGACAGTATAAATAACATATGGTTTGCTTTTCCAACAAAAGGAAAGAAGGAAGACAAGGGGGTTTAGTAAGTTTGGCAAGTTGTCCCTTCTAAGCTATGATACTCTAAAAGGGACATTTTGTGTATCATTCCAGTTCCACAGATGCACCAAAAGCCAAATCCTGCTCTTACTGAAGTCAATGGGAGTTTTGCCATCGACTTCACTGAGACTAAGATTTGGCCTCTGAAGAATTAATTCTAACAATTGGAGTTGTCAGGGCAGTAACAGATTTCTCATACAAGTTTTGTCCTGTGTGGATAGCGAAAGGCTCGTTTTTTAGCTTGGCTGAAGACGCTGCTGTGACTCTGAATGCCTGGGGTGTGGATGCGTGAGTGCGTCTGTAGGGAGAAGCTTTCGCAGAGTTAGGCAGATTTTGATGAAGGGTAGGGATGGTATTTTACTCTGCATTGGTACGATGCTGGGCGCAGTGGGGCCCAAAGCCTGATGGAGGACTCTGACCGCTTCTGTGCTATAAACAATTATTCATAATGGTGTTACAGAGCTCATAAACAGTGTTCTGTTCCTATGATAGATACAGTAAATGGGTAACATGTTGTTCTCATGTAGCAACATATGCTTTACATAATTTAGTAATGCAGTACTTTATATAGGCTTTTAGAATAAAAACAGGAAGGCGTGTTATTCCACACTACTCCACAGCTTGCACCCAAGCATTTCTGTATGTGACAGGAAAACACAGTTTGTAGTGACACAGCCAACTATTTTGCCTTTTCTTCAGAGCAGCATCTTTTAAAGTTGTGTTAAAATGTCCATAGAGAACAAATAAGTATTGTCTGTTGTGTACAACCTTATGTCTTCTAGCGTATTCTTCTCTGTAAGTTAACCAGAGCTCCATTCCAAATCATCTTTGTCAACCAAAAGTATATGAAATAGGGGAAAGCAAAGGAGTTTTTTTAAACATTTTAACTTTTTAGCATAGATCTATATTATACTAGTGGGTTTTTTTATACAAACTATCCTCTTCTAACTATTTGATTTTGGTTGAAAAATAGTGTTACTTCAGTGTTTTTACCACAATATAAAGTGAAAAGTGTATTGCAGCAAACTGAAGAGTTAAAACCACAAAATCCCAGTGAAAATTGTGTGGAGTTTAGAGTAACTTAGTGGAGTGTGAATGAATGATGGGAGGCCATTGCAAGATGTGCGGGGAAAAACCACCAGGATTTTTCCCATATTGTGTAAGACACCAAAGTAAACCTGCTTGCTTTATTTAAAGGGAATCATACTGTAAGTTCACTTTATCTTCTTCATCTTGGTAGGCAAAACCACTGTGAGAGGGAAGGCCAAGGAGAGACTCTCGTGTTAATACACTTCTTGTTTTCTTCCAGGAGAGTACACAACTGCTACAAATGCCGTCAGTGCAGCTTCACAGCTCTTGACACTCAGTCACTACTAGAGCACTTCAACACTGTGCATTGTCAGGAGATGGACGTCACTACAGCCAATGGGGAGGACAGTCATGGCGTTTCGTCTATCAAGGAAGAGCCAAAAATTGACCTTAAGGTCTACAGTCTGATTAATCCAGACTCCAAAATGGGGGAGCCCATATCTGACAGCATAGTGAAGAGGGAAAAGATAGAAGATAAGGAAGTGCTCAAGGAGAAAGGTTGGACTGATAGTCCCAGTGATGATCTTCGCAACGTGTCTTGGAGAGGAACTGACATTTTGAGGGGGAGCCCATCATACACACAGACTAGTCTAGGCTTATTGACCCCAGTGTCTGTTGGCCAAGAGCAGCCAAAGCCTTTAAGGGATAGTCCAAACGTAGAAGCTGCCCATCTTGCGCGGCCCATTTACGGCTTGGCCGTGGAGAGCAAGGGCTTCCTGCAGGGTGTGCCAGCCGGAGCAACGGAGAAAGCCGGACAGCTTACCCAGCCCTACCCTGGATCCGGGGACAGCAAGGCAAAGGACGAATCCCAGTCCTTACTACGGGTAGGAAGCGCTCTTTTTTTTCCCCTCGCTTTTTATGATTACATGTATGCTGTGTTTAATTAGGCATGCAAATAATTTCTTCAGTTCCACAGTAATGGGGTTGGCATTTTCTTCATGCATGGAAAATAAGAAAAACAAGGGAAGATTGAAAGACTCAAACTTGTAGAGCTAAACTGTCAGGTAAATGTTATAAAGTGTTTGCATCAAACAATGTATATATTGAGGTAGTATTAGTAAGCAAGTGCTACCGCTTTTGCTATTTAGCTCTGATGACTGAATTTTGTTTAATCATTCCTGCTAATTGTGCAGGTTGATGATGCATTTGAAGAAGCAAGGTTTAGAACCCCAGAAGGCTGCACATCTGTTACACTAAAACAACTAATCACCTCTTAAATTTTGTGGTGGTGTGACAGTTCACACTTAAGCAAGATTTCACATTATTAAATGTCTAAGAATATGAAACCTGAGTTAAATATTAATAAAAAGTACCCTCTTTTTTGGAAAGCAACATAATTATGTATCAATTTTGACACTTGCCTGGTTGCCTTGGAAGCAAGAGAAAAACAAAAAAAGAGGAAAGGAAGGATCTTGGGTGATAAGAAAAGGAGAATATTTGTCACATCAAATAATTCCTACTCTGTTTTTTTAAAACAAAAAGACCTCTATATAAGTAACTTCCCCTTCCATCAAGGTATACTTTTCCCGCTGTAGAGAAATCTGAGGTAAGAAAAGCTCTCAGATTCTGACGAGCTGAACAGGGAGACATATAAGTGCCTTCTACTGGAGTCATCGCTCTGTGTTTTCAGGAGCTGTTCCTTATCTGAACTTCTAGAAACTTGCTACAGAGTGGTCAGTCTGCAGACAAGTCTCACTAGAATGGAAGTGATGATCAGCTGTTTTTGTTTATTGTCTTTAGTAAAAACATTTATAACCATAACGTCCATTACTTTAAGATTGAACAAGTCAGAAGGAGAAAAAAGGCAAGATAAATGTTTTATTCCATGGTCTGCTAAGATTACACATGATGTAGCTGTCTCTGTATACATACGTTAAGTCTTACAAGCTCTTTTTGAAGTAAGTTAGTAGTCTTAAAAATATTGCAGCTGTTCTAATTATAAAATAATGTGTCTATCACTTCAAGCCTGCATGCAATTTTATAGGTCATGACATTGTCAGATTATTAGTGTCTGAGAAGCCGTTACAGTATGACAGGTTCCCTGTTTCAGACCTGGGTGCATGCTCGCTGTGAACGGCAGGATTATATTTCTCTCCTCCATTTGGAAATATGTATAAAAATATATACTTATATCTGACTAGAAGTGGAATTCATGTTGTACATATGATTCTAGTTACATCCAACTTCAGTTCTTGTAGTGGTTGTTAGCAGCATACAGCCATACTGGCCAGAGGAGCCATTTATATTGTGGGTTATCAGAATACAAATAATTTTCATGTTTAAAGGTCTAAATTTGAGTGGTAACTGGAGCCTAAAATCTTAGTAAGTTGTAAGATAAGGCCATTATATTAGTTTTGGCCACTGGTGAATATAGAAGGGGAAACTGTATACTGGCTGCTTCTTATGCCCTTTCTAAAAATAACTTAAGACACTTTTTTAACATTCTTTTACAAAAACACTAATATAGAGATTTTTTTCATATCAGTATTGTTATTACTTTGGAAATACTTTGATCAGTTCTGAATATTCAGAAATATGAAGTACCTGTAATTTCCATGATTTTCTGGGGAAAAAAAAAAAGTTCTTATTTCTGTGTATTAACAATGTATATAAGTTAGTTCCTTGCATTTTAAAATGTGTACTACCCGACTTTTATAAGGTTTGTAAAAGGATTTATTAGTAGACCAGGTCTATACTGACTGGTGAAACCATACCAATACCCTTCAAAGAGGAATTATTTTTGTGTACACCTTTAGCTGCTTTGCTCTTTGAAATCTGTTGTGCCAAGGACTTGTTTGTCTGGGTCTTCGCCTTAGTTATAATATTCTAAATTTTACTTTTCTTCTTTGAAAATTGGGCAAGTTGCCTTTGTCAGTTGAAATATTTTAAAAAAAGGAAAGGAGGTTAACTTACTACATCTGCTGAACAGAGTTCCCTAATCATACATATTTGATTACTATTGATGGATAGAGGAGAATAGTGAAAATTCAAACATCTTGAAGGTAAGGGGTGTTATGAAGGACAGGAGATGGTGGAAGATGAAGGAGTGTGATTCTGTGAGTCATATTAATTCCCTGTTCTCCTGGATCTCTGAAAAAGGTAACAGAAACCTATCCTTTATTTTGCTCTTGATTTAGTTTTCTGTAGACAGTGTTATGGGATGCAGTACTGGAACCAGAAAATAAGAAGACAAAGTGATGGTCAGCTTGACCAGTGGGAGCTTGGTGTTGGGTATTATCTGACATACATGTATATGTATGCCTGGAAGCTCATTTGGCCCAGACAGAATTAGAAATTGTTCAGAAAATAACTTCCCTTCCATTGTAGATAAAGCTAATTTTGATAATTCTCTTAAATTAAAAAAAAAAAATACTGGATATTGTTAAACAAATCTCTCATGATTATCCACTTTTGGAGAAATCTGTTTTTCTTATGTGAAATAGCTAGTGTGCTAAAAGTTGGGCCTTTCTAAAAGCAAAGCATTAAATCAATACATCTGATATAATGAATGCTTATGCACAATACTGTATCCCAGGTCTACTGGTGACTAGTAAACAAAACCTATAACAAAATTACTGTGGACACCTTCATTTTTTTTTTTTTTTTCTTCCAAAGTATGAGACAGAGGAAGGCAAAAATTTGTGATTACTCAGTGAATGAACAGTCTGAGAAATGGACTGAAAAAAAAATCTAACATCCCTGTGGTTGTACTGTCTATTCAGTATTTATAAAGTGGTTCTGCCTATTACAAATGATCTGTAATGATTTGACAGTAGCAGTAATACTATGTGCTTTTCATAGGGGAAGGGAAGGGAAAGGGGAGATTGTGTTTATAACATTTTTTTTTCATATAGACAGATGTTAAAATTGCAAGTGGGTTTCTAGATACTGAGTTTAGGAGCGATTAGCACTTTAATAAAATATCAGAAGGTGATACTGATTAGATGGGGAAGGGGTAAAAATCTACAATTGCTTACAGAAATCCCTAATGCCTACAGGATAATTGTAAACTTTCAGAAATTACTTGGAGTGTTTTTCAGCTTTGCATGTTGTGTAAGCCATTATATGCTGCTTTCTTGCATTCCTTCCATGCATGATGGACATGTTCCTTCCCCAGACTCTGTGCTACAGTAGATTATTTGTGGGAGTCATTAGGGTAGGATTTCTTTTCTTTTTAGCAGCTAAAAGACGGAATCACTTGTGACCTTTCAGGAGCTGGGGGTGGTGCAGTGGTGATAGCTTGAACTCTGCATGTGTGCAAACACACATATGCAGGAGATGCACCTTTTTCCCTGAGAGCACTTCCAAACTGTGTGTATGTAACAGAATCTTTCTCAGGGGCTTGGTACACTTCTGTGAGTAGCTTTAATTTATTTTTCTTATTACAATGTTTCCAGCAGCTGTACTTACAGCAAATCGGTATGTTTTGCAAATGGGAATTACAAAAAATGTACCTCAGCGTGGTACAATGTAGACATTATTTCTGCTCTTCCTTAGAGTAGCTGATTTTATAGTTTAAAGATTTGTTGATACTGGAAGGTCTATTGAGATGCAAAAATGTTCCTTTTTTTGCGTAGCACATTGGCAGCCAGTGGACTCCAGGCCAGGCAGATTGTTTAATGCTTTGACAGCACAGATCTTGGACAGCAGGAACTTTTTGCTAAACTGATTTTAAATGAAGTGTCCTGTTTTGGTATGTGTGGACACTGCAGAAAAAAGTTTTCCACAAAATTGGGAATTGCAGTCTGAGCCTTCAGACCTGTACACAGACCTAGTTAGCCCACCTGAAGGTATTGGTAAACACTGCTGCCTCACATCATAGTTTGTCTGATGCGTATGCAGAACAGCACAGATCAGGGTGTCCTGCAGTGCCACATAGACGTGAAGGCAACAGGGAGATGCCTGTGTATTAATCATAATTCAGTTAACGGAGGGATTTGTATACTGTCAGAGAGAGTTTGTCAAATTATTGCAAAGATACTGGTGATTTTTATCAAAGGCAGACTGCAGGCTGTAATGTTACATATCTAACTGAAGTTATGTTAACCTTTGCTATAACCTTTTTATATGGAGCAAGGGATAAAATCAGCTCCTCTGTTAAATTGAGATTATTTTGCACTGTAATGATCAGACTGTTTACACACTACAGGAAGTCACAGCATTTCAGGGAAGTTTCCATTTACTTTAAGAGGAGTTATTTTCTTTTTGTCTGTGATATTTACACTTCTGATATGTCATCTAGTGTTCTGCTGGTTATATGGCTTTAAATCTGGGGGAGACAGGAAATCAGAAAAAGTTATATCCCCTCTGCCTGTTTTGCATTCTCCTGTGTGGCTGATTGACAGAGCTAATTTTAAAAGAAGCAATTGGTGTGTATGTAGTAAATTTACATATAATTGATTTAATATCAGTGTAGTAAATATCAGACACAATCCTTAGTGGTGAAACATTATTTCTTCTGTTATAAAGTACTGACTCCTGTTATCCACAGAATTAGATGCCAAATAGTTGCAAAGCAGTGGAAATGCTGAACTTGGCCTTTCTGATTTCCAGAACACTTCTCTAAACATTTAATTCTTGGCCAGAAGGATAACATACCTTTGGGGTAAAGCCTGCCTCTTTGATGTTAGTGGAAGTATTGCTGCTGCCTTTAGCAGGAGCACAACGAGCAACACTGGAAGGTTCAAGCACACGGAGTGGGAATTTGGTTTACATTTGATTTTTCGGTGGTCACTACAGGGTAATGGATGGGAGGTTTTGTTCGCTTTCACATTGTATCCCACTTCCAACCAGCTTGTGATAGCAACATCTTAATAGTATATCT